TAATTGACGCCTGTTCTCTTTAAAACATTGTAACTTTATTCAGCACTCAGAGAATGTTTTAAGCAATACCACCCAGAAACTTTCTGTAACTACAACTTTTATTATTATACAAAATACTGTATGAATGTATGAGAGAGTGCTTGGATGATGAGTGAATGGTTCTGAGAGGTGCCAGCCTGAGAATACAGCAACAAAGGGCTGAAGAAGGCATCAGGTGCCAGTGCAACCAAAAGGTGTCAAGTGGAGAAAACCAAGTACTGGAGGTCCACCCGATGAGATCACTGACGAGCACCTGGCAGCTACCCTGGAGACATCAGCATGATGCAGCAATTTCCATAGACTGGCATGGGAAGAAATTCCTATAAGAACTGGACTAAAAAACTATGGAATCGGAGTCCAAGGTTCTGCTGCCAGCCTACCAGGAGCTTCAGATGCGCATCTGATCAGGACTTCGCTCCCCACTACCATCACTTGTGTACAGAGTACCTGGCCAGTATTCTGTCACAAGCAACTTCCAGGCTGGTAACTATACACAGAACTTGAATGAATGGATGTATGAATGAATGGTTATATATATAAGTGTATAAGGGTTAAGTAGTGATAGGAATAAGTAGTTAAACAACGTTGTTTGCTTCTATCTTTTCTTTATTTGTTATTATTATCTTTACCATAAATGTGGCTTTTTGCCTTATCCCCCTCATAAGATCCTGCTTGCTTTTATTTGGTATAACACTCCCCATTAGCAAAGATCACTGCACACCATTGCTATGTGGCAACATTAAAACATCTCTCCATTGTCTCCTTAATGGCAGGTGTTTTATACCAATAGGATTTCATCCACACTACTGGTTTATACTAGTATAGTTCTCTGGGAAAAAAACATCACCTTACCAAAATAGATGTACTAGTACAAAACTATGTTTAGAATAGTCCTACATATCATATCACTTAAGTTAACTTGTTCATTTTTCTTTGCATTGCAGTCCCCAACCAGAATCTGGAACCTCAGTGTGGTAGGGGGTGTAAAATTTTGAAGCAACAGCTATCTTTCTGTCTTTACATGTTTACAATCCAAATAAGACAGACACTGAGTGGGGAACAGTAATACATGTGTTAATTTTGAAAGCCAACATTTAAAAGCAAACCCTGATTGATATTTGTCCCCATATTAGACTGAGCTCATGCTTCAGTACTTTTCTATATCTGGCCATGAGGTCAACTTAATCATCCATCCAGATATTTTGGAATCACTCTACCTTAATATTAGCATTTACACCCAGCATTGCTCGGGTACTTAACCCAATTACTTTTTTTTATCTTAAAAAGAAAATGTTTATTTTCATGCTTTATTTAAATTGTATTTTTCAAAAACTCCAGTCATTTGAAGTGGGCTGTGCCCACAAAAGCTCATGATACTATCTACGTGTTTTGTTAGTCTATAAAGTGCTACCAGACAGTAGTTTTTTTCTGTACAGACTAACTCAGTTACCCCCTAAAGCTTCTGTTATTTTTATGATAATTTTTATTTCGGATTTCTTTGATAGACAAACACTCTCAAATATATAGTAAATTATGAGCATGTGAGTTCTGATTCAACTGTTGGTCCAAATTAAAGTTCTAACTGTGATCATCTCCTTTTGTGATCAGAGGACACTGTTTGGAAGTCTTGAACTTCTACTACACTAGAACTTAAGGCTACGTCTAGACTGGCATGATTTTCCACAAATCCTTTTAACAGAAAAGTTTTCCGTTAAAAGCATTTGCAGAAAAGAGTATCTAGATTGGCATGGGCACTTTTCCGCAAAAGCACTTTTTGCAGAAAAACGTCCGTGCCAATCTAGAAACGCTTTTGTGCAAAAAAGCCCCGATCGCCATTTTCGCAATCGGGGCTTTTTTGCACAAAACAAATCTGAGCTGTCTACACTGGCCCTTTTGCGCAAAAGGACTTTTGCCCGAACGGGAGCAGCATAGTATTTCCGCAAGAAGCACTGATTTCTTACATGAGATCGTCAGTGTTCTTGCGGAAATTCAAGCGGCCAGTGTAGACAGCTGGCAAGTTTTTCCAGTTTTGCCAGTCTAGACACAGCCTAAGAGTTACAAATTGACCAATTAGCTACACACCTCATTTGGAACTGGAAGGACATAATCAGGACTCAGCAGAGAAAATAAAAGGAGGGAGGTGCAAATACAGTATTGTACTGTGTTAAACAACTACTAATAAAGGGAAAGTTTAAAAAAATTGACAAGGTAAGGAAACTTTCTATGCATGCTTCATTTAAATTAAATTTTCTTTGAATAGTAAAGTTTCAAAACTTAAGTCAATATTCAGTTGTAACCTTTTGAAAGTACTATAACATTATGTTCAGAGTTATGAACATTTCAGTATTACAAAAACAAAACAGTCTCCATTCTAAGATGTTCCTAACTTTGAGATTCTACAGTATTTGAACTGGGACAGTTTATACCTCTCAGCTATTGTTTAAGGCTGCATGCAAATTTAGGAAGAGAACATCAAATATTCTTTACTTTAAAAGGTTGCCCTCAACTGTAATGTTGAGGTAATTATTTAAAAGTGTAAACTTGGATGCTGTGGCAGTTGTGTAGTGCAGTCAATTTCACGCAAATTCCATAGTTATGGAATCAAACCATACAACACTTATATTAGACTAGTCTATTTAAAGTTTGGCCTAAATATGGCCGTGTCTTGAGTTTGGAAATCTTGTTAGCATCTCCACACAAAACAGTTCCTTGGCCATTGTGACCAGTGCCTTGCTATTCTGTAAACTGTTTTCTAAATAATCCAACAAGCCCTGATGTACATAAAGCTTTCCCATGTGTTGAAAAAGAGTATATAGACAGACGCACGAGGGTGTACTCCAGTGAAGCTTTATGCCCGAGTGTGGATTTGTCAATGCATGCAACTACAGGATGGTGGCCCATGTTATTTTGTACAAATTTGTTGAATACTAGGTCTCTACCTAAACTAAAATCCTCTTGTTTTTAAACTGATGGTAACATTTTTCTTAGCTCACAGGGAATATCCAACCTGTATAAATTGTGCTGGTCTCAAAAAACTAGGGAAATATTTCGTAAACATTTCTACCAATGTCCCTCCCAACTCTCTGAAAAAATTTCCATAAAAATTATGAAGTTAAAAAACTGTTGTCCAACACTGGGTATATTACCCAGTTCAGTTAGAACCAAAATATCAAAATTGCTTAGACAAAGTTTGTGAATGATACCAAGCTGGGAGGGGGTTGCAAGTGCGTTGCAGAATAGCATGAAAATTCAAAATGATCTGGACAAACCGGAGAAATGATTTGAGGTAAATAGGATGAAATTCAACAAGGACAAATGCAAAGTACTCCACTTAAGAAAGAACAATCAGTTTCACACATACAAAATAGGAAGTGACTATTTAGCAGAGAGTACTGTAGAAAAGGATCTAGGAATCCTAGTGGACCACAAGCTAAATAGGAGTAAAAGGCATGCCACTGTTGCAAAAAAAGCAAAAATGCTTCTGGGATGCATTAACCAGGAGTGTTGTAAGCAAGACACAAGAAGCAGTTCTTCCACTCTACTCCTCACTGAGTAGGCCTCAGTTGGAGTATTGCGTCCAGTTCTGGGCACCACATTTCAGGAAAGATTTGGAGACGGTCCAGAGAAGAGCAAAAAAATGATTAAAGGTCTCTCTAGAAAACATGAGCAATGAGGGAAGACTGAAAGAACTGGGTGTGTTTAGTCTGGAAAAGACAAGACTGAGAATGGATTTTACAGCTTTCAAGTACCTAAAATGGGATGTTAAAAGGAAGAGGGACAAAATTATTCTCCTTACTTCTGAGGATAGGACAAGCAGCAATGTGTTTAAATTGCAGCCCTGGGAGGTTTAGGTTGGACATAAAAAAAAAACCAACCCAAACCCTTCCTATCAGAGTGGTTAAGCACTGGAATAGCCTGCAGAGATTGTGGAATCACCATCATTGGAGATTTTGAAGAGCTGGTTAGACAAACTGTCAGGGAGGATTCAAATGGTGCTTAGACATGCCATGAGTGCAGGGGACCGGACTTCATGACCTCCTGAGGTCCCTTCCAGTTCCGATATTCTATATTAAATACTGGTGAAAACCCTATGTACATTCAGCAGTAATGGGCTCCTCAGATAATAAACAAAACTATTAAAAACCAAAACAGTCTCATGTAATTTATTTGAAATGCTTCCAAAAGTTTAAGGCCATTATACACAAATATTTCACTAAACACATACATTCCATCCTTTCTTCCATAAGTCAGTATTTTACATACTTTTTGCTAACGCTTGGGCCAACAGTTGTCATACCAAAAGTTCATAGCCTAATATATTTTATATTTTCTCCACCTATAAACTGTTCCTTTGTCCTGCTGTTCTTCACTGGCATGCTCAAACATTCAACTCTAAAAATGAAGCAGTTTAAATAAATTACATTCCTGCAATAGAAAAAAATCATTGTTTTAAAAACTATAAATACAGAAATATGTTCTACAGGGTAAAACTGACCACAGTATTTTTTTTTTTAAAAGTAACATACCTTGTTTTTATATTGATTATCTTGCCACACTGATTCATTTAATGAACTTCATGATATATGTACAAGGTAAATGACAATTATTTACTGCTCTTCCTGTAAACTTGTAAGACACATGAAAAACATTTTTGGCAATAATTTAGTAATTTTATTACTTGTGCCAGTGTGTATCTAATTTGCACAGGTTATCCTGAATTTTTAGGATCATGTCAATTAATAAGGATAGACATTTTTCACTTTATATTACCATTCAGTAGATTGGCATTATTTTCTGCATTCAGAAATAAAGATGAACCAAGAATTTCTAAAATAGGCTGCTGCTGAGTATTTTAGATTGCATTTTAAATTGGCTGATCTGCCTCATCATAATGAGTCAGGTCACATATAAATTTAATTAAAACAGCCACCAGAAAACACAGTGGGTTCCAATTACAGCATGAGATTACATGCAGCAAAATTAAAAAAAACAAAAAACCAAAACGTAAATTTGACAAAAATATAAAGGATGTGATATTTCCTAAAGGAAAATCAATTTCCTTTTTATTTAAACTTTGTCTCCGAAGGGGTGTTTGTACAGCACCATTTATACGAGATTATGTCTCCGTCTTAAAAAGCAACTATAATTGTAAACAGTTATTTACACAAATTCTTGGGAAGTTTTAACTTGAGTGGTGCTAAAAGTAACAGTAAGTCAACAGAGTGCAAAATGCTGCCTGGCCTATTCCAGTGGTTCTCAACCAGGGAATTGGAGCCCCCTGATTGGCAGACCCCCTGAACCCTGCTTGTGACCATAGGTTAGGGTTTGGTTTCCCTAGGGGGTTACAAGCAGGCTTTAGGTGGTCTACCAATCTGCACCAGTGTTAGATTTGTGGGGCCCATGGCAGAAATCAGGAGTGGAGCCCCACCCAGAACTGAATCAAAAGCTTCAGCATTTTACCTTCACAGGGTAGCATGGAACTCCATGAAGTTTCCCTGCTTGCTACCCCCTAACATTGGCCCTGACTTTTATATGCTGAAAACGTTTCTTGTGGCAAAAGTGGGCCATGGAGTTTTTATAGCATGCTGGGGGAACGGGAAGGCCCTCAATAAACAAGTTTGAGAACCCAATGCCTATTCAATGATCTAATGTTTTTATAGATTCATTCTATCCAAGGCAGAATTACACAGAATTATACAGGACACTGTAAGAAAACTATCCACCTTTTATTTACAAACACCCAACATTCCCAGCATTTAACTGTTAACATTGACTCTTCAGTTGATTTTATTATTATGGGCTCCGATACATAAACCATGGACACCTTACATTGTCCCTTCAAACTGACCAGATTGCTATATTGTTTTGCTGGATCTTCACACAGCGCTTCATACTTATTATGATTAATCCCTGCAGAGTCACTGTGGACATGACCTACTCTTTACATTTCCTGTTGAATTACTACCACAAATAGTTAACTTACCTTATTCCAGGATGTTATTTTTGTATACATTTGCCCTTCTGAAAAATTTGAATGCCTTTCCTAATTAAATGTGGCCTTCAATACTGCTTTTAAGACCCACTACAAAATCCCTGTCTTTAGGTGCCACATTAGAGGTCAAATAGAACACTAAACATGAAGAGAGACTCCTTATGTAATATACGTATAAACAGTAGTTTAGAGATTCTTTCTACCAGCAGGACAATGAAAGTAACTGGTAAAGTACCTCTTTCATCCACCCAGATCTTTATGGAAATATCACAGGATAGGAAATGTAACAGATTCCAGCTTACACAATTGGCAGTTACAGTACTGCACACAAAGGTACAAATACAAGAAAGATTGTGTTGATATGTCACAAAAAAGTGTTAAAAGTGCTTTTCCAAACTGCTCCATTTATGGAATGCAAATACTGTACAGGTAAGACAAGTTTATTTCCATGAAGTATAATTTTCTGTCAAATGTTGGTTTCTATCTGTTTGTCATTTTCACATGAGTTTATCTGTTCCATGCGTTCACAATCAATGTTGACTTCACTAGTGTCCATACTACAGTCTGACTCATTGTCTGATTGGTCCATTTGCTCAAGCCTGTTTTCTCTCTGTTGTACCCTATTCCCCTTTGGGGATATTAGGCAATGTTCTTCTGAATTCAGTGTTCCAGTCTCTCCTTCACACAGAACTGTTTCTTTGGCCTGTCGGATACAGTTAAGCCACTGTTGTTTGTTGAAGGAGTCATTGGCTTGTAGCGAGTGGGACTGGCTTTGCGATCCACTTTTGAAGCTGATTCTAAAGAAGTTTTTAACTGAAAAAAGAGAAGATGTCCATGGCTTGCTTTGGTTGCGTGCATTTTTAGTAAGAGAGTACATTAAAATACTATCAAGTTCTTGAGCTTACTGTGTTGCTTCGCCAGTGCTAAGTTAGAAATACATAGAATAGCAAGAGCCAGGGGAAAACCCAAAGACCATGTGTCCCTCCTACCTCTGTAGGGCAGTGAGGGGCAACCCCAGATACTAATGGAGTTGTTAAAAATGTCATGCTTGCTAGGTTAATTACTTTAGAGTTTAGCCAATATAGCGGTGTTCTACATGCATAAAACCAGCCACTAGTGCAAGGGGGGGGAAACTCCAGCTCGGGAGCTGGATGCAGCCCCTCACTTACCTGGACCTGGCCCTCAAGGCTCAGGTTCTCCCCCAGCTTTGGGGAGCCTGCACTAGTGTTCCAGCACCCGCTACGGGGCTGGAGCTCACAAAATCTAGCCTGGGCCTCCCTAGACTCCGGTGTGCAAGAGGAACGTGGGGTGTGTTTTTCTCCTTCTCAGTTGGGGGCCACTATTGTGCGGGTTGGTTTTTTGCTTCTCACTTGTGTGCAGCCCCCAACTGATTTTTCTGTGGGTCAGTGGCCCCCAGCCTAAAAAAGGTTCCCTATCCCTACACTAGTACCTAAACTTGTTGACTTTTATGCCTGTTTCACCTTTTCAAGCATGGACCCTTAAACAGCTCAGTCAAGTTGAAGCTACCCCCATAGCCCTGTGGATCCTCTCTGGCTAGAACTGCTAGGGATGTAAAATCCCGTTTCATCAGTTAAATGTTACGTTTAACCAGTTAACCACTTACACAGGATCCTGTGGGTAGGGGCCACTCTGGCCGAGCTGGAGCAGCCCCTCTGCCCACGGTGGGCTCAGCTGGACTGGAGCGGCGCATGGCTGCTCAGACTGGGCCCACCACACCATTGTGTTGCAAGCAGGGGGCTGCTCCAGCCAGGCCAGGCCCTCCACACCACTGGTGGGCAGGGAATTGCTCCAGCCCGCCTAGGCTGGAGGGCCCCTGACCTGTGGTACAGAGAAGCAGGCCCAGCCAGGCTGGAATACAGATGTAAAATCTCATTTAACTGGTTAATCAGTTAAATGTACTGGTTAACTGATTAAAGGAGGGGGAGGGGGAGAGAGTAGGTGATGGGACCACTCCAGCCCAGTTGGAATGGAACAGCCTGCCCACCGCAGCTGGGCTGGAGCAGGCCCCCCGCACCCATCCTAGCTTGGAATGCCCTCAACCCATGGTGCAGCACTGTGGGCCTGGCTAGACTGGAGCAGCCCCCCGATAACATATGGTAGGGGGCTCCAACAGGGCTGCTGGCTAACCTGTAACCAGTCAGCATCACCTGTGAAGGGTGATGCTTACTGGTTAAGCAGTGACTTCCCTAACAACTGCCCTGCAGAGTTCTACAATTTCACTTTTGCTTCCTACTGGAAAGCCAGGACTTGTTCCTGCAACAGCTTGGGCCCACTCTTATCTGCACTCCACAACATAGATCAGTCACGCAAATTCAAAATTATTCTTCAGAAAAATTAAATAAGACTAAAAAGTGATTTGTGATGAAACATGGTTAATTGTAGGCATTGATTCTGCAAACACTTAACATGCGTAACTTGAATAATGAGTACTAGTTACTTTACAAGGATGACTCACATGTTTAACATTAAGCACATGCATAAATATTTGCAGGCTCATAGCCTTAACTGTGGAGTAGCAGCAAATGCCTCTAAGAAGATAAAGAATCAGAATAGGTAAACCTTGTCATAAATTTTCTAAATAGGTTACAAAGTTTCAAAGTATACTCTGAACTTATAAATTCTTATATTGCTGCTTCATTCTACTCCCTTTTCCACTTCCCAATGCAGTATAGGTGTGTGTACACCTGTGAAGAGGTGAGGGAAATCACATTATTGCATTAACAGGAGTGTTTTGAGCACTCCTTCCGCTCTACCCTGAACTGATTAGGCCTCAATTGAAGTATTGTGTCCAGTTCTGGGCACCACGTTTCAAGAAAGATGGAGAATTTGGAGAAGGTCCAGAGAAGAGCAACAAGAATGATTAAAGGTCTAGAGAACATGACCTATGAAGGAAGACTGAAAGAATTGGGCTTGTTTAGTTTGGAAAGGAGAAGACGGGGGGTGGGGAGACGGACATAACAGCGGTTTTCAGGTATCTAAAAGGTTATCATAAGGAGGAGGGAGAAAAATTGTTCTCCTTGGTCTCTGAGGATAGGACAAGAAGCAATGGGCTTAAATGGTCTAGAATGTTACTGGGTCCTGCCATGAGGGCAGGGGACTGGACTCGATGACCTCTCGAGGTCCCTTCCAGTTCTAGTGTTCTATGATATAGTAGATTTTTAAAATAGGTATTTAGAGTCTTGCATTGTAACAGTTTGAATGAAAACTCAAATTTTGGACCTGGGGGGCTGTTTTACATAGAGGAAGGTTTCAAAGTTTCATCTACTGACTATGAACTAAAGATAAAGTTTTAAAATCAAAAGTGTATTCATACTTCTCTCATTGTTGCTAAATGCACCACGGATAGATCCACCTAGTCGCACCTCTCCATCTTGCAAATCTTCCAGAACAAGATCCTTTACAGGGATGGGCTGCCGGTATAGTTGGTAGCAAAGTTGTTCATTATGAGTAATAGTTCGAGTAATCACCAGCACTTCTTGGAATAGGAAGACATGCAGTTTCTGTTTAAAAAACAATAAAATAAAAGGAAAACAAATTAATTTTAAAAAAGTAACCGAAAATTTATTTTAAATATTCCCTCTCTCTCTGAGAGAGAGAGAGAGAGAGATTTTAGTTCCCCTTACTTAGACATAAAAAAGGAAAATTTGTTCACAGCCATCACTGGGACTCTTTTCCCCCTTCCCTTTATAACAATGACAATGACTTTATATAGCGTAACTATTCATACCCCATGTAATTTACATGAACAAAAATACTTTTCTATGCCATACCCACTGTGCTCAAGGGAGGATTTTTTGTGACTTCCCAGGGAATGAATAAGGGCTGATGGGAATACACAGCAGACATGTTAATTTTCATTATCATTTGTCACCAATGAAATCAGGTGTAAACCAGTCAAAAGAATAAACGTAATTAAAGGATGTATTACTTTGTGTGTCATTCTGTGGCAAGTCATAAGAACAGAAGAGCAGTAAGTTTATTTAAAAAAAAAAAAAAAAAAAAAAGGTTACTTACCTGGTAACTGTTGTTCTTTGAGATGCGTTGCTCATGTATTCATGTCCATTCCAGTTAGGTGTGCGCGTGCCACATGCATGGATTCCAGAGTTTTTTCCCATAGCAGTATCCATCCAGCCAGCCACAGAGTCCCCTGGAGTGGCGCTGGCATATTGGTGCATATATACCCCTGCTGGTCCTCCACCCCTAGTTCCTTCTTGCTGGAGTCTTCCAACAAAGGGGAAGTGGGTGGGATTTGGAACGGACATGAGTAACACATCTCAAAGAACAACAATTACATGATAAGTAACCATTTTTTCTTCGAGTGCTTACTCATGTCCATTCCAGTTAGGTGACTCCCTAGCAGTACCACAAGAGATGGGGTCAGAACCCTATTCAGCAATGGATTGCAACACAGCCCTAACAAAGTCTGCATCGTCTCTGGCCTGCTGTGCAATGGCATAATGCGTTGTAAATGTATAGATGGAGGACCATCTGGCCACCCTGCAGATTTCAAGGATTGTGTGACAAACTGTCGACAAGGCCCGTACCCTTGTAGAACGGGCTGTAAGCAGGAGTGTCATCCGTCCTGCAAGTTCATAACAAGCCCTGATGCAGGTGATGATCCATGAAGACAAACCAACACTAGGAGACCCCTCATCCTTTCCACTATAGAAAGAAATAGTTGTTGTGACCTCCTAAACTCTCTTGTCCTATCGATGTAGAAAGCTAAGGCCCTCCTCATGTCTAGGGAATGCAGGGACTGTTCCCTAGGTGTTGCGAGAGGTTTTGGGAAGAAAACAGGGAGGTAAATGTCTTTGGACATGTGGAAATGTGACACCACCTTGGGCAGAAATGATGGGTGGGGAGGAGGACCTTGTATAGTAAGGGGAAGGGAGGAAATGCATGGGGCAGGGGGAGGGGACCCTGCACCAGTAGTGCATTCCCTAGTGACCCTTTCCCCTGTCCTAGATACGAGCAGTAGCTCGGACATGTGAAGTTTCCCTGAGAAGCGAACAGGTCGACAGGGTGAGAGGGGGATAGTCCCACCTCTGGAAGACAACATTCAAGATGTCCATCTTGATGGACCACTCATGGGCCCTGAATGATCTGCTGAGCTTGTCCGCCAAGATGTTGAGGTCCCCTGGTAGAGAGGTTGCCTCCAGGTGACTCCCATGTGCAATACACAAGTCCCAGAGACTTAAGGCTTCCTTGCATAGGGGAGAAGAATGAGCCACACCCTGTTTGTTGATATAGTGCATGGATGGGTGTTGTCTGTCAGCACCAACACCACCTTGTTCTTCAGGTGGGGTGGGAACACCAGGCAGGTCAACCGGATAGCCCTGAGCTCTCTGACATGTATATGGAGAGCGCTCTCGTTGGGGGACCACACACCTTGAATTCTGAGGGTTTGACAGGTGAGCTTCCCAACCCAAGTCTGACACATCGATTACCCGCTGCACTGATGGGGGCTGTCTGGCAAATAGGATGCCGTGGCAAATTACCTGTTTCTGAAGCCACCAGTCTAGTGACCGGAGAACCTCCTTTGGTACCGTGACTATTGCATCCATAGGTGCTCATGTTGGGTTTTGTACTGTTGCAAATCACACCTAAAGGGGTTGAAGCCACAGTCTGGTGTGGTGGACCATGAAGGTGCAGGCTGCCATGTGGCCTTGCCATCTCATGCATGTGCACACTGTTGTAAGAGGCGAGGCCGCGAGGCTGTCAATTATCACCCTGATGGTTAAAAATCTGATCCTGGGGAAGGATGCTCTTGCCAGCCTGGAGTATAGGCGAGCCCCAACAAAGTCTATTATCTGGATCAGACTAAATGTGGACTTCTCATTCATTAGGAGACCCAATTTGCAAAGCAGTGTCCTGACAGTCTATGTGGCTGAGGATCCAGTCCCTGGATGACCCTCAGATTAGCCAGTCATCAAAGTAAGGGAACACCTGGATCCTGTGCCTTCTCAAAAAGGCCGCTACAGTGACCATGCAGTTGGTGAAAACCCTTGGCGCTGTGGAGACCGAACAGGAGGACAACAAACTGAAAGTGATCTTGGCCTACTGTGATCCTCAGGAATTTCCTGTGGGCCAGAATTATTGATATGTGGAAGTATGCGTCCTTCAAATCGAGGGCATCATACCAGTCTCATTTCTCTGGCAGGGGGGAGAGAGAGGAGCAGAGGGCAAGAGATGATGGAGGTGAGGATGACCATCCTTGCGTTCTTTATGAATGAGCTGAGGTTCCAAAATGGGACAAAGGCTTCCCTTGGATTTGGGGATAAGGAAATAGTGGGAGTAAAACCCTCTCCCCTTGAACTCCTCTGGGACAGGCTTAACTACTCCCAGGAGCAGAAGTGTGAATACTTCCTGCTTCAACAGTAGCTCATGAGAGGGGTCCTTGAAGAGGGATGGGGAAAGGGATAGCATATCCACTTTCCAACAAGCCTAGTACCCAACGATCTGATATGGGAGTAAACAAGGAAGAAATGGGATAGCCAGCACTCAAAGGGTGGGGTTATCACGAAGGCAGGAACACCACCCTCATGCGCAATTTCAAAATGGGCTGCTGGATAGGGACCAGAGCAAAACCCAATTTCAGAGTCAGACCTAGAACTCCTATGTCTGTTTCTGCCTTTGTTGTGGTTGTTATTCAACCCTTCCTTCTGCCCTGGCCAAGCCTGAACAATTGCTGGAAGAGTCTTAGGGTGGGTTTAGGATATATGGGCTTCCTCTGAGGGTGTGGATCCCCAGGGATTTTAATGTAGCCCTGGATACTGCTAAGGGAAAAAACTCCAGAATCGATGCATGCAGCAGGCACGCACCTAACTGAAATGGACATGAGCAAGCACTCAAAGAAGAACTGGTCCCTTCTGCTTCATCTTAACACCCTTTCATCAATTGCTATTTCTGCCACATGTCATGTGTTAAACTGACATACTAATACCCATTAAATTTCAACTGTTCCAATAAATGACTAGAGATATAGTGACTTGATTGACATTAACCATTGACTTTTGTATCAGTCAAGAACCTGCATATGAAGACTTAATTTGTGGATATAAATGCATGAAGGTGAATTATACCCCCAAGAGTTGAATCTAGTATATAATTAGACTACTTCCCTTCCTCTCATATATTAGTCTAGTAGTCAAAGGCATGCACATGAAGACAGAGTAATGCAATTTAAGGCAGAATTCACACGTACACCATATCAATTTAACCATATTTCTAGATGAACTAGAAGACTTTACCTGGCATTGCCCAGGTGCTTCAGGGCAGGTGGTGTGGGGGGTGCAGGAGTTGAGTTGTGGGGGCAAGAAGGAACTCAGGACAGGAGGTCCCATCTGCCAAGGGCCTTTTCTCCCCCCATCCTCCCTGGCCACCAGGAATCTCCTGTCTCTCCCCAGCCCTGCCCCCTACCAACATGGGTCCCCCCATTCCTGGCACTGCATCCAAGGGGCAGGGGAGAGAGAAAGAAAGGGTTTTGGGTAGGGGGCTACTTACCCCATCTGGTGGCAGGCAAAAGGGCGGAGCCCCAGTCTTTCTGGCCATTCTTGGTGGTGCAGCCCAATGGCCATTCTGCATATAGTTCTCCCCTGCATTCACTGCCCCTGGTGGCCACTCAGTGATATCATGTCTCTGTGCCTCTCCCTTTTGTGTCTCTCCTCTCTTTGCCTCCTCCCTTTCCATTTTATGGAAAATAGTCCCATTTCCATAAGTTTGTGTTTTCTTGGTACAAACAAACCTTGATCTTTCTTTAAGTTAGGATAAGAGGAAGCTGTATACCAAATTTGGTGGTCCTAGCTCTTAGGCTGTGTCTACATTGGCACCCCTTTCTGTAAAAGGGATGCTAATGAGACACTTCGGAATTGCAAATGCCGCGGGGGATTTAAATATCCCCCGCGGCATTTGCATGAACATGGCTGCCGCTTTTTTCCGGCTCGGGGTTTTGCCGGAGAAAAGCGCCAGTCTAAACGGGATCTTGCGGAAAATAAGCCCTTTTCCACAAGATCCCTTATTTCTACTTGAAAGTAGGAATAAGGGATTTTCCGGAAAAGGGCTTATTTTCCGCAAGATCCCGTCTAGACTGGCGCTTTTCTCCGGCAAAACCCCGAGCCGGAAAAAAGCGGCAGCCATGTTCATGCAAATGCCGCGGGGGATATTTAAATCCCCCGTGGCATTTGCAATTCCGAAGTGTCTCATTAGCATCCCTTTTACGGAAAAGGGTGCCAGTGTAGACACAGCCTAACTGTTCAGGAGGAATTCTTGAATCAACAGATTCAGTCAGACAAATGCACATTTCTAAACTATATAGATAGATTATATTCCAGGAAACACACATACACAATACAATTCTCCCTGTGCATGGATTTGGTGGTAATCTAAAATATGCATGTTGTAACATAGTATTTATCAAGTTTATATATTTTAAGAGTTCGTATATTATTTTCAGTTGTGCATTTTTATTAGATTAATAGTTTTCTTTCTAGGACAGTGTAAAAAAAGCTTCTGCATAGACACAAAATGATCACGTAACTTGTAACTGATTAAAGTGACCATATCTCTAACTGCTTATAAAGTCACATGGAAAAGTCAAGTATAGTCAGAGCCTCAGAGATATTGCTTCCTTCGTTACATGTTACCTCACTGCGATGGGTTACATTTCAGAAACACACACAGTATTCAGTCAAGAAGAGCTAGATTTAAGCATTTTATAATGCAATGCATGGAAATTAATTAATTGATGTTTAGAATGTTGAATTCAGAGTTTGCATATGACCATTAAAGACGAAAGCTATTTGCAGGTTGATTAAGAAGAACACGCTAATACTTGAAATGGAATTAAAATACTTGGGTTCTATTGGGCATTCTGGGAGTTGTAATCCCAAACTCACTTGAATAGAGAAGGTAAACTGCAATTCCCAGGATGGAATGCAACCATGTGCTCCTGGCTCAGTAAGCCAAATGCTGCATGCCCTAGAGCTGCCAGAGTTGCATAACAATGTCTGAATCCCACAATGGGAAGGTGGCACTGCATGCATGGGCTCGGGATTATAACTTCCCTACCTGGAAAAGGAGATCTTTGGGAAGAAATGGGGACAGTTGGGGGGGAGGGGGGGGAATCAAGGGTTTGGTAAAGCCCTGCATCACTGATGCACAGTGACCTGTGGAGGGGTTACTACAGCCATGCAAATCTGCAGATATTCACATCCAGGGACAATCTGTGCAGATCAGATTACTCACACAGAGCTCATCTACTAAGTATTGCATACCTTTTCCAGAAAGGGTATAAAAAGATATCTGCACTTTCCTTTTTCTTTTAAAGGAAAGCAGTTATCCCCAACCAGTCAAGTGGAAATTCTCCCACAGCTTTCCTACTGCAAAACACAAATGCTCCACATGAGCTGGGATGGCCACTTCATATTTCCACATCTAGAGCTTGATCCTTTTCTCTCAGGCTTGATCCCTCTCTCGCTAAAATTAAACTCTCCTACAAACAGATGTAACTGTAGCAGTCCAGAAGATGAATGAGACATTTCTTTGGGATTTAAATACAGTGTGACCCTATGGAACTCCTTCGACTTCCATGGAGGGACATAATCCTATAGAAGAGGATCCTGTATAGAAGAGGATCCTGTATAACACAAAAGGTCCCAACAAGCTTTTTTCTTCACTCAAAATTGAACAGATGCTGTAGCCTTGCTACCCCAACCTGTAATACCATAGCACTGAAGATATATTTTTATCAAGATGCCTTATCTTTAAAAAGCATTTATTCCTTACCGCTCCTCTGTTGTTCTTTAGTTCACCATGACAACACACTACACGTGAATTATCAATCAGTGAATCCTTTTGGCCTTCTTCAAGATAAATGAGCCGCTCTTTGTAATACTGGCACTCAGATTCACCCGTCTTTATATTGATTTCGGCAACTATACCCTGAATGATATTTATCTATGGAAAAAGAACAAAGAGAAATGAAAATACATGAACTTCCATCAGCTAGGCCTTTCACACTCATTCTTAATTGTAAGAAGGTGATAAGAGGAAAAGTGTCACTTTACAATGTATTTAGGATTTCTTAGACTTACATGGTGATCTTATTTGGAAGGCTGCAAGTGTAAGATATGGAGCACACAACAATGTGTGCAGGTACTTTAGCATGGTTTGTATTTGTTTCTAACCCTTTGCTTCTTTGAAATCTGAAGCTTGCTTCTTGGTATCAGCCCTAAATGTTTAGAATGAAGGTAAGCCAAATTTAAACTCTGAACCCAAATGCATTTCTTATTAAACTAAAATTCTGAAACATTACTATGCAGGAGGAAATTCTTTAACCATCTTAATTTGAAGGAAACAAGGGCAGAAACAGTTGCCTTGTTCATGTTTTTAGCTCTCTTTTTAGTTAGTTTGTGTTTGACATAATACTGTGCCGTATTTGCTTCTTTTGTTTTTTGGTCGCTACTGTCTGATTGCATACTTCCAATATCAAATGAGGTGTATGGTTGACTGGTTAGTTCAAAATTCTGTGGTTCTACTGTATATGTATTCTGCACACACCGAGTACATGCATGGGGGTACCAAACAGCCTACATGTACACTTCTATAAAATATAAAAATCAAATACAGAATGTATTTTGTATCAAGCAAGAGACAGCATTTCAAATTAATGCCTTGATTTTGCAACACTTATACACATGGCACACGAGCAAGGTTTTGCATATGTATTAGCTTAAATGAGATTTTATACAAATAACGGTCTAGCTGAGCATGTATGTTTGCAAGATCAGGATTATGAGTAATTTTTCTGTTGAATTAAGGACAGTATAACAAACAGCACACAAAGACTTGTGTGTCAGACTTTGCATCAGAGGATCTTCAAGTGCTTCACAGATCTGCTGACTATTTATTATCCCTATATTCCAAATGGAGAAAAAATTAATAAAGAAAGGCTGTGTTTTGCCCAAGATCACAAGAGATTGGTAGTCAGGAATAAATGTCTCATCTCACTCAGCATCATTTCTAGGTGGCTAGAACGGGTGATTTAGTAATAGTGTTTATAAAATATACTGACTTCTAACAGAATTTGTGTCAGTTATGAAAGTTACACTTGTTAAGGGAATAAAGGCAAAATCAATTGTATTTTATTTTTCTGATATTTGCATGTTCTAAATCCTTTGAATAGATCTGCTGCCAGTCAGAATTTGTAGAGGTGCACAGTGTATGCTTATTTTTCAAGATTCTTTCCCAAATTAATTCTATCAATTAGAAATATACCAATAATTAATTGGCAGATGGGAAGACAAATTCATCTTACAAACCTAACAGTTTTAGGAGAAGACTAAATGTTATTACTTGCCCTGAATATTAACTTGGCAACTCGATGTTGTGAAATACATCACTTCAAAGAAACACTACTCTGATTAAATAGTTTACTACAAAGCTATCTATAATTACTGTAATACATGAAAAATCCTGATCATATACTGTTAAAACAGCTACCAAATATTTCATTTCTGGAAAGGAAAAATTTTGAAATGAGATGGCATTTTACCAGACACTGGTTAAAGACAAAAAAAATACTTGGAATAAAGATTTAGAACCATTTAATTGAGGTTTCTAGTAGTTTTTGATATAAAGAGTCATTTGTAAGGGGAAAAAAAACCCACACACATTGTAAATAATTTAGGTTAAAATGTAAATCTACATGTAAACTCTAAATTCCATGCTCTAAATTTTGCACTGCTGCTGATCAGTTTTACATTGAAGAGTAAACCTGGGCAAGGCATCTGGGGAATGAGTAGCAGAATGATAACAGATGTGTCCTCTAGTGTGTCTTGTGAAATAATACAGTGTCAAAAGGTAGTCCCTGAATTTTTCAGCAAGTAACTGTTGTAGTCTACAAACTGTATTTACAACGAAAGCTAATAATTCAGATAATGACAATTTTAATTAAATGTAGTTCTATTTATTATGTACTAATTATACCCGGGAAGTCTCCACATTGAGCCATATGGTTTCATTACATTTTTAGAAAATCTACATATTTAGACACCCCACACATTAATTTATAATTAATTTTACAAAATGCCTTT